GGGGGGGGGGTGGGGGGTCCTGGGGAGGGATTATGTGGTCCAGGCTGGGGGAGCAGGGCCGTGGAGTGCGGTACAGAGTTCCGGATGGTGCTCGGGGTCCCGGGGGGACCGCAGGGCGCTGTCACCAGCCCCGCACAGCTGCAGGGGAAGCCGGAGGCGCTGCAGGAACTGGGCCGGTTCCTGCCCCGGCCCGCGGGCAGGTCCCGGGGGCGGATGCCGGGGCGGATGGGCCGGCGATGACGCCCTGAACGAGGCAGCGTGGCCAGATCCTGGCCGGCTCCTCCCGACAGACCGGAGGGCTCGGTCGGCACAGTCCCCGAGCCGGTGACACCCCGACCCGCCCCGGGATGCCCCGGAGCCGCGGGGGGCGGGGGGGCGGGGGGGGGGTCGGGCAGGACGGGACCGTCCCGGGGGTGTTGGGGACATCAGCGTCGGGTTCCCGGTGGTACAGTCGTGCCCGGGGCGGCTCGTGCACGTGCCGGCTGTTCCCCGCCGCCGGCCCCGCTCGTCCCTGCCCACGGACCCAAAATAGCAGCAGCCGGAGACAGGAAACGGGCTGAGGCGAGGGGCTGGCGGCGGCAGGAAAGGGGCGGCCGCTGCCCCCGTGGCTCCCTGACGCACGGCGGTGGGCTGGCCTGGGGACCCCCGGTGCTGCTGAGTGAATCCCCCACCCCGTGTACTCCCACACACAGCACCTCACAAAGACCCTCCCAAGGGTCGGGGCATCCCCGCGAGGTTCCCAGGGTGGGGACGGGGCTGCAGCCCCAGCACCAAGCCCCGTTTGCCGCCCACACCGAGCCCTCCCTGCCCTGCGCTGCTCCGATAACCCCGCGCTGGCGCTGGCACCGCTGATAGCGGAGGGGCTGCGCCCAGCACGGCAGTGCCCCCACCGTCCCTGTGCCAGGACAGGGGGCTCCGTGTTGGAGGGGGTTGTGCCGGGGGGATCCCCGGCTCCTGCGGGCTCTGATGGGTACCTGGTGCCGCAGGTGGGTGCGGGAGTTCCTCAATGATGAGAACAAGGGGCTGGACGTGCTGGTGAACTACCTGTCCTTCGCCCAGTGCGCCGTCATGTGAGTGGGGTCGGGGGTCCCTGGGTGATGGGGGGGGGGGTCCAGGGAGTCCTTGGGGAGCGTGGAAGTTGCTGGTGGCTGTGGCAGCTCCCTGCTGCCAACGCCTGATACTGCTCGGTCCCTTATCGTCCCTGAGGCAGGGAGGGACCTGTGCATCGGGCTCCCCAGGGATGCGGCACTTTCAGACCCTCCCTGCCTGCTCTGGGAATTCCAGAGCCACGCTCGTGCCTCTCCCCACCCTGCAACCACCCACTGGCCACCTACCTCGGTGCTTGCATCCCCGCCAGAGCCATGTGCCCCCCACCAAATCAGTGTGCCCCCCCGCTGCCCGTGTGTCCCCCCACCAGGTTGGATTTTGAGGGCCTGGAAGGCGGCGAGGATGGCGCACTGGAGAAGCTGCGCTCCTGGAGCAGGTCCATCGAGGATCTGCAGCACCCCAGCGCCCTGCCCGCCCCCTTCACCAGCAGCCTGGCCCGCTCTGCCCGCCAGACCGCCCTACGGTACGTGCCCGGGGGGATGTCCCACCGAGGGGGGACATCCTGCCATGGTGGTACGTCCTGCTGCAGGGCTCTGGCTGGCCACAGTGCTGCTGCTTGCTGCGTGCTGTGCTGTGTGCCAGCGTGCCATGGTGTGTGACAGCGTGCCATAGTGTGTGCCATGCCAAGCACTGTCCTGCCGTGGCTTGTGCCATCATGCCCGGTGCCACTTGCCGCCCTGTCCCATCACCTGCATGGCACAAACGCAGTGCCTGGAGCTCAGGCTGTGCCATGGTACATGCCACGTGTGCCACATCCCGTTCTGCCTCGCGTGTCATGTCAGCTCCACGGCCCGTGCAGCCCTGGCACTGCCATCGCTGTCTCACCGCTGCCATCCTGCCTGTCCTCTGCCCCCGCGGCTCCGCTCACCCTGCTCTGGCTCTGCCCCCGCGCCCCGGGGTAATGCACCCCGTTTCTGCTTCCAGGGCCGGGGTGCCCCTCTCTGGCTGTGCTCTCTCTCTCTCTCCTCCGTGCCCACCTCGCCGCTCGCCCGCCGGCCGGGTAAGTACCGGCTGTGCGGGGCCAGCCCCGTGCTCGCCGTGGCTTTGCTCCGCCTCCGCACTGTCCCTGTCGCCCTCTCTCTGCCTTTGCCCCTCCGAAATCCCGGCTGTCCCACACTGTCCAACGCTGTCCCCAAGCTGTCCCTCCGTTCCCCCCATCGGTGCAGCACCAGCAGGTGACAATCCCTCTCACTGTGTGCCCTGTCCTGCAGCTATGGCACGCTGCCCAGCCGCAGGGCACTGAAAAACTCACGCCTGGTGAGCCAGAAGGATGACGTCCACCTCTGCATCATGTGTCTTCGGGCCATCATGAACTACCAGGTACTGTCACCCCACGGTGGGGACACCGTTGTCAGCACTGCCACCACGGCTGACGCTGTTTTTACTCCGTGCCCACAGTACGGCTTCAACCTGGTCATGTCTCACCCCCACGCTGTCAATGAGATCGCCCTGAGCCTCAACAACAAGAACCCGAGGTAAGGGAGGGTCTGGCAGGGTGGGACAGGGGTCCTGGAGCTGGCAGGGGGTGACACTGATGGTGATGGTGACACTGTGGCCAGGATGAAGGCGCTGGTGCTGGAGCTGCTGGCGGCTGTCTGCCTGGTGAGGGGCGGCCACGAGATCATCCTTGCGGCCTTCGACAACTTCAAGGAGGTACAAGGGGAGTGGGAACAGGGCTGGGAGGGGGGAATGGAGAGAGAAAGGACCAGGCTGGGATGGGGGGAATGGGGGCACCAGAATCAGGCTGGGACTGGGGAGCAGGACCCCGGCAATGGAGGAACTGGGGACCCCAGGAGCAATCTGGGATGAGAGAAAGCCCAAGAGAAGGCTGGGATGGGGGCACCAGGGTCCCCAAGAGCAATCTGGGTTGGGAGAAACACCAAAAGAAGTCTGGGATGGGGCCACAAGGGACCCCAGGAGCAATCTGGGATGAGGAACACCCCCAGGTGAGGAGGGGAAGCCCCCGGGACACCCAAAAATGGGGCGAGGCAGAGCTGGGTGTCCCCAGGGGTGGGAGGGCTCCAGACAGGGAGCTCCCTGGTGCTCGGCTGCTCCCGAGGCTGGGTGGTCTCCAGAATTGGGGTCTCACCCCCCTCTGATGGCTCCACAGGGAAGTGTCCCCCGGCCCCGCCGCTGCCCGGGGCTTCACCCTCCATCGCCCTCACCGTGGGGCTCTCAGGTACGTGGGGATGAGGGGGGACCACGGGACGGGGACAGGGAGGGTGTGGGCACTGTAAGGACAGGGAACAGGGAGGACGTGGGGACTGGGACAGTGCAGGGACAGTGGGGACAGGGACAGTGGGGACAGGAGGATGTGGGGACCATGGGGGCAGGAATGGTAGGGACTGTGTGGACAGGGACAGGGACAGGGACAAGGGAAGATGTGGGGACCATGGGGACAGGGATGGTGTAGGAACTGTGGGGACAGGGACAGGGAACAGAGGGGGTGTGGGGACCATGTGGACAGGGATGGTGTAGGGACTGTGGGGACAGGGACAGGGAGGGTGTGGGGACCATGGGGACAGGGATGGTGTAGGGACTGTGTGGACAGGGAGGACAAACTGTGGGGACAGGGACAAGGGGTAGGGAAGGGTTGCAGGCACCAGGGTGCTGGGCTTGCAGTCCTCAAGGAACACCCACTCAGGGACCCCAGCACGGGGCTTGGGTGGCCCAGGGGTTGATGACACCAGGCTCAGGTGGCTCAGGGTGGGCACAGGACATGTCCCCATGCCTGGGGGTGCTGAGCTGGCTCCCACCCCTCCGGCAGCCATCCGGATCAAGAAGCCCATCAAGACCAAGTTCCGGTTGCCTGTGTTCAACTGGACAGCGCTGAAGCCCAGCCAGATCAGCGGGACGGTGTTCAGCGAGCTGGACGATGAGAGGGTGCTGGAGGTGAGCCCACGAGCCCTCTGTGGCTGCATTTCTCTTCACAGAGAAAAGCAAGGCACAACTTCCCAAGGGTATTTCTGGGATTCACATTCTGTGAACCTCAGAGAAAGAAAGAACAATTCTTATCTCAGTTGCTGCTCCTCTTTGTTGCTCACAAGTGGAATGCATTGCGGAAGATTGTTTACCTGAAGGGAATTGGTAATTGGATTCTGGTTATTTGATCAATTATTCTGGTCAATTTGATTAATTGACCAGTTGAATCCAGGTGTGTGTGTCGGGACTTGGCTGACAGTCAGGAGATTCTGTGCAGTGGAGTTGAGTGCTTGGCAGATTCAGTTTAGATGTAGTGTAATATAGTATAGAATAATATACTGTAATATAGTATAGAATATACTAATATATATAGTATAGAATAATAGAGTAATACAGTATAGAATAATATAGTAATATAGTAATATAGTATAGAATATACTATAATATAGTATAATATGGAATATAGTATAGTAATGTAGTATAAATATACTAATATATATAGTATAGAATAATAGAGTAATACAGTATAGAATAATATAGTAATATAGTATAGTAATATAGTGTATAATATACTAATATATATAGTATATATATAGTAATGTAGTATAGAAAAATATAGTATAAAATAATATAGTATAATAATAGTAATATAGTATAGAATATAGCATAGAATATACTATAATAGTAATATAGTATAGAATATAGTATAATAGTAATATAGTAATATAGTATAGAACAATATTCTGTAATATAGCATAGAATATACTATAATATAGTATATTATAATATGTAATATAGTATAGTAATATAGTATATAAAATACTAATATATATGGTATAGAATAATATAGTAATATAGTATAAAGTAATATAATATAGTATAATAATAGTAATATAGTAGACACTATAGCATAGAATATAGTATAATAGTAATATAGTTTAGAATATAGTACAGAATAATATACTGTAATATAGTATAGAATATACTATAATATTGTATATTACAATATGTAATATAGTATAGTAATATAATGCATAATATATTAATATATATAGTATATAATAATATAGTAATATAGTATAGAATAATATAATATAATATAATATAATATAATATAATATAATATAATATAATATAATATAATATAATATAATATAATATAATATAATATAATATAATATAATATAATAATAGTAATATAGTATAGAATATAGCATAGAATATAGTTTAATAATAATATAGTAACATCGTATAGAATAATATAGTATAGAATAATATACTGTAATATAGCATAGAATATACTATAATACAGTATATTATAACACGTAATATAGTATAGTAATATAGTATATAATATACTAATATATATGGTATATAATAATATTGTAATACAGTATAGAATGATCGAGTAATAGAGTATAGAATAATATAATATAGTATAATAATAATAGTAATATAATATAGGCTATAGTATAGAATATAGTATAATAGTAATAGAGTAATAGAGTATAGAATAATACAGTTCAGAATAATATAATATAGTATAATAATAGCAATATAGTATGGAATATAGCATAGAATGTAGTACAATAGTAATATAGTAACATCGTATAGAATAATACAGTATAACAAAGCAATTAATTAGCCTTATGATACTATGGAGTCCTCCTCATCATTTCTCCCTGCCACGGGGGTGAATCCCATACCCCTCCCCGTGTGGGCACCCCCAGCCCCAATCCTGACCCCCCTCATCCCCCCAGGACCTGGACCTGGAGCGCTTCGAGGAGCTGTTCAAGACCAAGGCGCAGGGCCCGGCGCTGGACCTGGTGTGTGCCAAGAGCAAGGCGGCGCAGAAAGTGGCCACCAAGGTGACCCTGCTGGAGGCCAACCGTGCCAAGAACTTGGCCATCACCCTGCGCAAGGCCGGGCGCAGCGCCGACGAGATCTGCCGGGCCATCCACACGTATGGGCTGAGCCGGGGGGGCCAGAAATGGGGCACGGAGGGTCAGGAATGGGGTGCAAGGGGGCTGGTTGGGGTTCAAGGGGGCTGGTTGGGGTGCAGAGGGGCCAGGAAAGGTGTACAGGGGTTAGCTGGGACAGGGGACAGGTCTGGCT